TGGTTTATTGTTTCCTGCATTTCCAGGATTTCTGTTTGTTTGTTTTTTATATCCTCTATCTCCCTATAGAGTTGATCTTTTGCTTCTTGGATTTGTTTATGTAATTCGTTGTCAAAGTGATCTTTCATTGTCTGAATTTGCTGTATAATGTCTTCCTTGAGACTCCAGATCATCTGAAGCATGTATATCCTGAACTCTTTGTCTGACATTCCATCAGCTGCAGATATTACCTCATCTAATGTTGAATTGACCTGTATTGTTTGTGGTCCTTTCTTTCCTTGTCTTTTCATACTGCTCATGATTCTTTCTAGCTTTGTGAAACTGTTGTGTTAATGTTTTTCCCCTTATATGTTTGTATTGTTCTTGTATAGCTCCAAAATCCCTCTTTTGCGGAGAAAGACAATGTTAACAGTTCCCAATATCAACAGTACATCATCTAAGCACAAGTTTTCTTTATTAATACATTTATAGTTAGATTCTAAGTCAATAGATATTGGTTTTAATTATTACTTAAGAATATATTCATTAGTTTCATTAAAGGCATACCATATCTGGTGGCATATAGAAAACTTAATTTCAGATGAAGGATGTTATACTTAGAGGGAAAGGAGAGAGGATATGAGGTTAAACTAACTTAGCACCTTTGGAGAACTCTAACCAATAGACTGGTAATTTATGGAAGAATGTATAGACTCAACCTCCTATCTGTATTTAGATAGTTACCCTATGTATAGATAGCAAAAGTTAGGAGATTGAAAGTGGGATAGAGAGAATACAAATGAAAAAAAGAAAAAAAATAACAAGGAAGAAAAGAGAAATAAGAGAAGGAAAAGGAAAGTAAGATAGAAATAAAGAAAAAAAATGGGGGAAAGGTGGGGTATATGCAATTCCTCTGTATTATATTAGTTGGTAATTCGGTTGTTCATGCACAGTTCTTGGTTTCACATATGTTGAAGTTGTGGAAGAGAGAGAAGAAAAGAGAGAAAGAAAGAGAAATAAAAAGTCTCTCAGAACACTGTTTTCCTTGCTTCCAGTAGGTGGCGTTGTCTATTCCTAGCTTGAGCCTCTGTATTCAGGGTGGTGGGTATAGCCAGTGTGAAAGGAAATGAGCTTCCATCTGTATCTTCCCTACTCTAGTCTCTGAGGTAGAAACCAGGTGCCTGTACAGTTGTTGTTTTGCGTTGATAGCTACAACCCCCAAAAGCTTGTGGGAAATATTTTGAGTTATCGCAGCTAAGGGTGGGGGAGTTGGAAACCGGGTACCTGGATCAGCCGCAGAACCGTGCTGGTAGCCACACCCCCTTTGATGGGTTTTAAGGGTTGATGGGCTTCCTCCGGACTAGCACACGGGGCGGGGCCAGGCTTCCTCCTCCGGTCTGGCTTGGCTGGCGCCAGGCTGCTTCCTCCTCCAGTCTGGCTTGGCTGGCGCCAGGCTGCTTCTAGGGAATTCTTTGGGGTTTTTTGTTTTGTTGTTGTTGTTGTTTGGCTGGGTGCAGTGAACTTCATTGATAGTATATGACAGTAGGGCTCCCTAAGCCTCCTTCTTCAGGGGATCTGAGATGGAAATTGAGAGGAGAAGGGACTGAGTTAGGAGCAGGGACTCTCCAGCAGCTGAGGGCCTCTCTCTTCCTCTGTGTTCTTGCTGGGGCAGATGTCCAGGGGCTCTTACTCCTTGGAGACCATATGGATCATAAGGTCCATAACCCTGTTTCTGTAGCCAAATTCATTGTCAATCCAGGAAATGAGCTTGACAAAGTGGTCATTGAAGGCAATGCCAGCCCAGCATTGAAGGTGAAAGAGTGGGTATCACTGTTAAAGTTTCAGGAGACGACCTGATCCCCAGTATAGCCCAGGATGCCCTTGAGGTAGCCCTGTGATGAATGCTTCACCATCTTCTTGATGTCATCGTATTTGGTAGCTTTCCCAAGTGACATATCAGATACATAGCTGACATTTTGGGAGTGGGCACATGGAAAGCCATACCAGTGAGCTACCCATTCACTTCAGGGCCACAGCCTTGGCAGCACCAGTGGATGCAGGGATGATATTCTGGGAAGCACCAGGACCATCATGCCACAGTTTCCCAGAGGGGCTATCTGTGGTCTTCTGAGTAGCAATGATGTATGAACTGTGGTCATGAGTCTTTCCACAATGCCAAAGTTGTCATGGATGACCTTGGCCAGGGCGGCTAAGCAGTTGGTGGTACAGGAGGCATTGCTGACAATCTTAAGGGAGTGGTCATACTTCTCATGGTTCACATCCATCATAAACATGGGGGCATCAGCAGAAGGGGCAGAGATGGATCACCACCCTTCAAATGAGCCCTGGCTTTCTTCATGGTAGTGAAGACACCAATGGACTTCACAAGATATTCAGTACTAGCATCACCCCATTTGATGTTGGCAAGATCTCATTCCTGGAAGATAGAGATGGATTTTCCATTGATGACAAGCTTCCCGTTCTCAGCCTTGATTGCGCCATTGAATTTACCATGAGTGAAATCATACTGAAACATGTAGACCGTGTAGTTGAGGTCAATAAAGAGGTCACTGATGGCAACAATATCACTTTGCTAGAGTTGAAAGCAAATCCATTCACTCTGACCTTCATCATCACGTCTCAGGGACGCAGCTAGCACTGCACAAGATGAGAAGATGCAGCTGTCTGACAAATGAGGAGAAGCAGAGAGCCTTGTCTTCATTTTTGAAAGACAGATTTGCAGAATATACTATTCTTGGTTGGCAGTTTTCTTTTTACTTTTGGCACTTTGAATATACTATCCCACCATTTTCTGACTTGCAGGGCTTCTACAGAGAATTCTGCTAATATATTATAGAACATTCCTTACATATGACAAGTTACTTTTCTCTTGCTGCTTTCAAATTTCCCTCTTTGTCTTTTACATTTTGATTACAGTGCTCCATTTTAGGTCTCTGAGTTTATCCCACTTGAAGTTCTTTGAGTTTCTTAAATTTGTATGTGACCATTTCCCCTCAAATTTGGAAAACTTACAGCCATTATTCCTTTAATTTGCTCTCTACCCCTTTCTCACTCTTTCCCCCTTCTGAAACATCCACAATGAATACTCGGATCTTATTAATGGCATTCTGTAAGTCCTTTATGCTCTCTTTGTTGTTCTTTACTCTTTTTTTTTTTCCTCTTCTGACTCAATAATTTCAAATGAGGGCCGGGGTTGTGGCTCAGTGGTAGAACGCTTGCCTAGCATGCATAAGGCAGTGGTTTCTATCCCCAGCACCACATAAAAATAAATAAAATAAAGGTATTGTGTCCATCTACAACTAAAAAAAAATTTAAATAATAATAATTTCAAATAAACTATCTTCCATTTCACTGAACCTTTCTTCTGCTTGGTACAATCTACCATTGAACACCTCTAGTGAATTTTTCCATTTAGTTATTATATTTGCTAGTCCTGGAATTTTTATATGGTTCTTTTTTATAGTTTCTATCTCTTTGTTGTTATTCTCATTTTTTTAATGCATCATTTCCTGACTTATTTAGTTGGCTATTAATGTTCTCATAGAATATCTTTAAGATATTTTTTTTTTTTTGCATTTTTTGTCAGATCATTCACAGATCTTTATTTCTTTAAGATCTGGAGATTTAGTTTGCTCCTTTAGTTTGGTTAAGGCTCCTTTGTATGCCTTGCTTTTTCTTTTCTTTTTTTTTTTTTTTCCCCGAAGGGATTTAGCATTTGAAAACACTTCCACCATTCCCAGTCTTTATTGAATGACTTCATACAAAAGACCTTCATTAATTAGCCTGGCTATCAATTCTGAGGGCTTCTAAAACTTTTTCTGGGATGCATCCTCTTTGGTGTATGCAAGTAATATTCCATTTAGAGAGGTTTTCCAGTTTCTTTTTCTGGAGCTTTTGCTCCCTCTGTTTTCTGTGGCTCTGACCTCTCCTTTGTTCTCAGCAGCACTCAGGTTTGTTCAAAATATGCAGATTTGGAGCCAAATAAGATAGACCAAGTACCTCAGGCAACCTCCTAAAGTTCTAACATTCTCTTTCCCTTTCAGTAGAGAAGTGGCAAGTTGGGTATTTTCTCCCAGACTTGCCACCCTGTACATGTTTGGGTAAGGACCATCATAGGTATCATGTAGTATCTGTTCTTACTAGTTTCCATGCCACTATTCTTGGCATTGCACTTGCCTAAGTTACTACAACTTCTTAATTTTCTTATGAAGTTCCTTAAAGGAGTTTGGACCATATATTGTAACTTATTGGACCATTATTCAGTCAATGTCTTTGTGGGACATCAATGGTTGGGGCTTCCCTGTCTACCATCTTGCTAGCATTACTCTGTTTCTATTACTTTTAATGGAAAAAAATTTCTAAAATAAATACTTACATACTTTGGCTAGTTCAATACCCAGAGGAGAACTGAACTGTTTTTCTAACTGAGGATAAGATGTTTTTGTTTGTTTATTATATTTTATTGCTAAGAACTACAAATATGGAAATATTATATCCATGGACATAAAATATATTGTAAACTCAGTCAACCCATAGCTATTTCTAGGATTGACCCAAGAATAAAATTATTTTACATTGTTGCTGTTCTTTTTAAATTATTTATTTATTTATTTATTTTGCATAATAGCACATCACATCAGAAAAGCCATTTGCTAAGTAAGTGCTATAAATACTTCGTTGTTAGTCTCTTTCTGTTCTGTAGCTTACCTGATCTTGTAGTTTAGGGTGGCTAAAGTGAACCTGTTGTAACTTATTACTTCTTTGTTTACAATGGAAAGTTATGAGATGTGTGTACTTGTTAAATTGTTTGAAAGTACACATTTAATTTCAAGTAGATCTAAATAGGTTTTCACATATATCACTATTAAAGGTCCAATTTTGTGTATTTTTTTCTGTAAAATGTTACCTTCCTTCAAATCACGTAGCTTTGATTTTCTGATGTATAGTGTGTGTGAAAATATTTCTCTCTGAAAAGTTTCCCTTATTGTGTGCCCTTACAGGTGGTGTAATTGATAATATTCTGTCATCTTTGTGGGACATACTTGTTGGTGTGCTGGTAGGAACTGTTTTGGGATGTTTTATTCGATATTTTCCAAGTGCTGATCAGGTAAATAAAAAAGTTAACCTGTTGTGTAACATTACAGAGTAATAATTAGCTTTCTATCACTATTATGAACCTGAGATAATTAAATTATAGAAGAAAAGGTTTATTTTGGCCAACAGTTTTTGAGATGTCCAATCAATTGGACCCATGAATTTGGATGTGTAGCATGGCAGTATATCATGGCTCACACATGGCAGAGCAAAACCATTTACATCATGATCCAGGGAGCAAAAGAACGATAGGAAGGGAAGGGGTCCAACAGTCCCCTTTGTGAGCATACTCCCTTAATGGTCTGAAGACTCCCACAAGGTCCCCACCTCTCAAAGTTTCTACCATCTCCCAATAGCCCCACATTGGTGAGCAAGTCTTTAACATGTGGGCTTTTGGGAGGCATTCAACATCCAAACCATATCATCTGGTATTAGACATTTCTTTCCACAATTTGAACTTTGGGAAGAGCTTTGAAATATTAAATTTCATACCTAACTCTCTTCTCCCAAAGTAATCTTCATCGCCCCTATTCAGTTCTTAAAATTGAACACAGTTGTGACTGATACAGGTCAATGGCCTTGATTGATGTCTCTGATGAATAAAGAGTTACAGAAAAGTGTACCTACCTGAAAGTATCCCTCTTCATTCTGTTTCACCCCTTTCCCACAAATTGCTTATTGATATTTGTCAGTTTTCCCTAATACTTTTCCCTAAATTTTCCTTTAAACACATTGGGAGAAGATAGGTTCCCCCTTACCTCTGCTTTATTTTCTGACTTAAATTTGTTCTTGCTGTCCTTTGACAAAGGCAACACTGTTAAACACAAGCCTTTCCTTCCCTAAAGGATGTGCCATTACTCTTATTTCTGTAATTCCCATCCTGACCTACCTGTAGCTGTTACTTTGACTGAAAAGATATTAAAAAAATATATTTTTTAAGAATTCATTGAATATATGGAACTGAAGACTATATAGGGTTATCCTTTCTTCGCTTTCAGTTGAAATATTATAACAGTTTTACTGATGTCACTCTCAGAAATGTATCAGAAGATGAAAGTTTAAAGTTTGCAAATTTTGTTACTTGGTAACAAGTGTGCTGAAATATTTAGTGAGGAAGAAAATCAACATTTTAGATACTACTTAATACAGCATTTAGAGACTTGATAGCAAAGGGTCAAAAATAAATGATAGATAATGCCAAATCTTATATATTTAATATAAAACAAATTTTAAATATCTATTTCTAGGAAAAACTTTCATTGAAGAGGGCATTCCTTATTTTGAGTATGTGTATTTCTGCTGTCTTAGGCAGTCAACGTATTGGTTTACATGGATCTGGAGGATTATGCACACTAGTGTCATCTTTCCTTGCAGGGACAAAATGGTCCAAAGATAAGGTGAATATTTTTAATACATCATTTTTTAAAGATAATTAATTTTTATATCTCTAATCAACATTTAGAAAATCTCCCCACTCTACTTGAAAGATGTTTTATTTCCTCAAGGAAGTGTATGAAACAATCAAGGAAATAAAATATTTAGAAAAAGTGCCTGGAAATATACTAAAATGCAAAAAAAGTTGAGTTATAGTATCAGACTTCACTCTTCCCAAAATATTATGTAATATTAACTTAATTATTTTCTTCATTAAAATTTTATTTGTTCAATTAATCCATGAAAAATTCATAAAAGATTAAAACATATAGAATAAAATGTAAAAGATTCCCTCATCCCCCACATTCTTAAATATCCAACTCCCTTCCCCAAATTAAGCATTTGTTCTGACCAAACCTTCATTTGTAAACATTTAGATCTTTCAGTTTTTTTGATAAAGGTGGTAATGTTAGGAACAATCTTGTTCATGTGTCTTATTGCATATATAAAAGTACTTTGCATGTATATAAATACTTCTGTAGGATTAATTTCCTGGAAATAGAATGTCTATGTTAAGAAATAGTCTGTTTTTATTTTTCTGGGTACTGTTAAATTATACTCCTGCCAACATTTATAGAGAGTATCTAATATTTCAGTTCTATTTTTTAATGATCCAATGACTAAAAATCTATATGATGTTATTTTTCTTTATTTACATTTCTCTAATTAGTAGTGGACAAAACTTCATGTATTCTTCATTAACTACCTATTGAATTCTTGGTCTATTCCTATTCCTATGCCTTTTGCTTCTAATTTATAGTTTCTCCATATGCTAGGACTACTGTGTGTGTGTATATATTCATATAATTTTTGCTTATCTTCAACTTTGTTTATGTTGTATTTTATGTGGAAGTGAAATTTTCTATAGCCACACCTATCCGTTTTTCCCTTTATGGTTCTGGATTCTACATCTTGTTTAAGGACTTCCTCATCCAAGATTATAAGATTATAAACATCATAAAGATATACTGTTTTCTATATTGTCATCTAATACTTTGGTGGTTATTGCTTGTTTATTTTTTTTCTGCATTTAGTTTTTTAATCCATCTGGAATTCATCTTTGTGAATGCTGTAAAGTAATGCTATAGGAATACCTCTGTGTGTCTATGTATTCATAGACACACATATATACTTATATATAACAGATATGCATAAACACACATGTATGTATATACATGTATACATACACGTATTGGCTAGTCAGTTTTCAATTATTTGTTTATTAACCCATTAATTGTTCAGTTTTTATTTTGTTCTTGTTTTTGTACTGGGAATTGAACCCAGGTGTGTTTTACCACTGCTACATCCCCAGTCCTTTTTATTGTTTGAGACAGGGTCTAAGTTGCTGGCCTCAAACTTGCAATCCTCCTGCCTCAGCCTCCTGAGTAACTGGGATTACAGGCATATGCCACTATGCCCAGCAATTATTCAGTTTTGCTAAGTACATATTTTAACATTAGTTAAATTCTGAACTTATGCCAATACCAATCTAATTTAAATCACTGCAGTTTTATGTCTCAAAATCTAATATAGAAATTATCCCCATTAAACAGTTTCTTAATGTATTTCTTGGCTATTTCTGCCCATTATTCTTTCTTAGATTAATTTTATAATCAGCTTGAGAAGTTCCCTACCCAAAATGTAGACCCAAAATGTAGTCCAATATAATCATGATTATATAATTAATTAAGTGGTTAATAATTAATGAAATAGGAGTTTGTGGTTATGGCTTAGCGGTGAAGCGCTTGCCCTTCAGTGTGAGGCACTGGGTTCGATCCTCAGCACCACATAAAAATAAATAAACAAAATAAAGTTGTGTCCATCTACAACTAAAAAATAGAAACTAAAAATTTTTTAAAATGAATGAATACAAGTTAAAAGTAAAATGAAAACTACAAGAATTCCTTTGTATATGATAAAAGAAATTAAAATGAATAGTTTAAAGATTAAAATAAATAGGATAATATGCTATAAAGAAGAAATAATAATAATTGTTTTGTTTTTACTTTTTTTAACTTTTACAATCAAATAATTTTTAATCAGAAAGCTCAATCTTAAAGGGAAATGTTATGAAGATAGTTTGTGTCCTAAGCAAGAGTCATCAGAATTCTTTTGTACATTCTATACGATGACAAGCCCAGATGGAGACTAAAATCTTTTCATCCCGAATCCTGGAGAAGAGTTAGTATGCTGTTATGCCAAATGGCACTTTTCCTTTAATCTTTTCATTGGGAAGTGGCACTGGGAGGGAATCCTTCCCAGAAAGGAGAGACAGACTGGCAACTAAAGAAGAATCTAATAAACATTTTGTTTTAGTATTAAGGGAAAACATTTTTTTAATTAATTTATTTATTTTTAGTTGTAGATGGCACAATACCTTTATTTTATTTATTTATTTTTGTGTGGTGCTGAGGATCAAACCCAGTGCCTCATACATGCTAGGCTAGCACTCCACCACTAAGCTACAACCCCAGCCCAAGGAAAAAATAACTTTGAGGTAATCAATATGAGTCCTTTGGAAGCAGGCCTAAAATAGAGAACCAAATTGTTTTTTTCCTAGCAGCTTATAGCATCTCGGTATTCACTCTCATTGCAGTGGGTTTCAGGTTCATTGTTAGTAGAGGTCTTCTCAAGTTCCTTCCAAGAGCTCAAATGTTTGCATGAGCTGGGTATGCTTTCATCAGGCATAATATGATTCTCTCAGTTCAGTTATCTTACAAAGAAATAATTGCACAAAAATTAACCTACTCAATTTTTATTAATTAGGTTTTAACATTTCTCCTAAAAATAAAATATCTTAAGTTTATTAAATTTTAAGTAATTTTAAGAGTAACTGGAGAATATTATGCTAAGCAAAATAAGCCAATCCCAAAGAACCAAAGGCTGAATGTTTTCTCTGATAAGCGGATGCTAATTCATAATAGGGAAAGTTGGCTAGGAAAGAATAGAAGAATAGAAGTAATAGGGGATTGAAGGGGGGGTTATGGGGGTAGGAATGATGGTAGAATGAATCGGACATTATTACCCTATGTGCATATATGATTACACAACCAGTGTAACTCTACATCATGTATAACCAGAAGAATGAGAAGTTATACCCCATTTATGTATTATGTGTCAAAATGCATGCTACTATCATGTATAACTAATTAGAACAAATTAAAAACACAGTAAATTCTCAAATGCAACTATCTTTACACACAATAACTATAAATATATTTCTTTTTTACACAGATTAAGGTCCAAAATATTGTTGCACAAACCTGGAATGTTTTTCAACCTCTTCTTTTTGGTTTAGTTGGATCAGAAGTAACTGTTTCATCTCTTGAATCAAATACTATTGGTAAGAATAATTAAAGCACAAAAGATATAAGATTCAAAAATATTTAAGAAAGTTATAAATACTTTATTCTTTCTAATAATGTATCTTTGACTACAGAGACCTTCTTTAGAAACTCATGATAATGTAATGTATTTGCTCTTCCTTGACCCTAATTGGTTTTGGTTTTACTTTTAGTTGTCTGTTTTTTTGTTATGTTAATTTTTTTAGTTGTAGATGAACACAATAACTTTATTTATTTATTTTTGTGTGGTGCTGAGGAATGAACCCAGCGCCTCACACGTGCTAGGCAAGTGCTCCTCCTCCACTGAACCACACCCCCAGCCCTGGTTTTTGTTTTCTAACCAAACATACTACTTAATATCTTCCCTGAGTGATCTGATGAAATAAAGATTAAGATTTATTTTCTTAGATGAATATAGATACCACCAGATATTTTCATTTAAAAGTATTCCAAAAAAATGTCTATTAGTTCAGAATTGCAGAAGTTCAATTCAAATTCTATTAGTTCAGAATAAAGTAAATGTCTTCTGTCTCATTTCTCATGGAACTCCCACCATTAGATAATCTCTGGCACTTTATGCCAAAGTTTCAATCATATTTGCATTCTTTATAATTATTATTTTTTTGTTTTTGGTACCAGGGATTCAACTCAGGGCCACTCGACCACTGAGCCACATCCCCAGCACTATTTTGTATTTTATTTAAAGACAGGGTTTCACTGAGTTGCTTAGAGCCTTGCTGAATTGTCGAGGCTGGCTTTGAACTCAAGAGTCTCCTGCCTCAGCCTCCCAAGCCACTGGGATTACAGGCGCATACCACCGCGGCCAGCTGCTTATAATTATTATTTTTACAGAAAAGTAGACATAAAGTTGCAACAGCTTTAAGACATTTAAAGTTTTAGAAATAGTATCTCTAGACATAAAGAACCATTTCTTCTCAATTATTTTGGTATTTATGTTTGTTTGTATCTGTTACAGGGCTGTGTGTTATTACCTTGAGTTTGGCAGTGTGTGTTCGAATTTTAATGACATTTGTATTGATGTGTTTTGCTGGTTTTACTTTTAAGGAGAAAATATTTATTGCTTTAGCGTGGTTGCCCAAGGCAACAGTCCAGGTAAGAAATAGGAAGTCATTGTAATAATTTTAATCTTGATGATTTTTCATGATTCTTAAAGAAAAATGTTACTCCAATCACAAAATGCACAAAATATGTGATATTTAACCTTACTTTTAAAATGTTTGATAACTGTTTATTGAAATTAATGGAACTTTTAAAAAATGTTTCAAAAGTACTTATTCTGAAAATTTTAAATGTACTTTTCATGACAAATACTTCCTAAATTTTATACAAATATTTTTCTACTTTCCTAAAATATAAAATAAGAATATATTTTATATTTTGCTGAATATTATAGAGTTAAATGTTTTGATTTTAAAGTGGAAGTACTTTGGGTTTTTTTTTTATCTTTCCTAAAGAATGGGTTATCTTTCTTAACCTTGCCAATCACTCCACCACATGAATGCCTATGAAATTTTTAATTATACATTTATTTTGATGACTATTGTTTTGAACAACCAACAATAAAAAAAAATAGTCAAATTCCCTCAATATATTATATAGGAATGATAGGGACAGTATCTAGTTTTTGGTGTTCTGTTTTTTTTTTGTTGTTGTTTGTTTGTTTGTTTGTTTTTAATTTTTTCCCCTAGGATTTAATAGTCATTAAAAGGCAGGAGGAATGTATAATGCTTACAAAATGAATGAAGGAAGAGGGAGACATTATAGTTTTGCCCTATTATTCAGTGATATTCTCCTCTTATTAAAAGACATTGCTATTTGTTAGACTGCTTAACCTGGCAACAAAATACTTTAATTTTCTGGATTTTTTTCTCTATTGTTTTCAAAACAGAAGGTTATAAATTTCCATGCAACAAATTCTCTGATATCATGGTTACAAAAGCAGGCCCATTAAGGGTAGTCTTTCTCTTTTAAATATTGTTACTTAACTTTAACCTCAGCTAAGTTACTTCTTAATTTCTTAGTGCCTCAATCTGCTCATTTCATAGTGATATCTGTGCATCTACTGCAGAGTGGTGTTGTGAGGATTAATTAAATAATCCATGCAAAGCGCTTAGCATAATCTCTGGCACATGGGTAGTTCTCAGTTAACAATGTTATTATTTATTTTATTTTACCTTCAAGTAATATAAATAATGATAACTGTTTTTAACCTCTGCCATGGAGGTTAAAATAATAATTAATCTACAAAAGAAATATCTATTACTCTATTCTCCCTCCTTCCAATGATACACTTGCAATTATTTTCTTTGCTCATTTTTAAAATTGTACTTATTTACTTATTCTAATTAGGTATACATATGTATCTAATGCATTTTGATTCATTGTACATAGTGACAGCACTAATTTTCATTTCTCTGGTTTTTCACGATCCTCACACCATATGTGCAGTCATACATGTACCTAGGGTAATGATGTCCATCTCATTCCACTATCTTTCCTGCCCCCGTGCACCCTTCCTTCCCCTCCCTCCCTTTGCCCAATCACAGTTCCTCCATTTTTCCCAATCATCTCCCCCCATTATGGATCAGCATTCACTTATTAGAGAGAACATTCAGCCTTTGTTTGGGATAGGCTTACTTCGCTTAGCATTATATTCTCCAACTCCATCCCTTTACCTGCAAATGCCATTATTTTATTTTCTTTTAATGCTGAGATATATTCCATTGTGTATATATACCACAGGTTTTTTTAATCCATTCATCTATTGAAGGGCATCTAGTTTGGTTTCACAGTCTAGCTATTGCGAATTGAGCTGCTATACACATTGATGTGGATGTGTTACTACAGCATGCTGATTTTAAGTCCTTTGGGTATAGACCGAGTGGTGGGATAGCTGGGTCAAATGGTGGTTCCATTCCCAGATTTCCAAGGAATCTCCATACTACTTTCCAGATTGGTTGCACCAATTTGCAGTCCCACCAGTAGTGTATGAGTGTGCCTTTTCCCCCACATCCTTGCCAACATTTATTATTGCTTGTATTCTTAATAGCTGCCATTTGACTGGAGTAAGATGAAATCTTAGAGTAGTTTTGATTTGCATTTCTCTAATTGCTAAAGGTGTTAAACATTTTTTCGTATATTTATTGGTTGATTGTACATCATTTTCTGAGAAGTGTCTGTTCAGTTCCTTGGCCCATTTATTGATTGGATTGTTTTGGGGTTTTGCTTTTGTTTTTGTTTTTTGGATGTTAAGATTTTTGAATTCTTTATATATCCTGGAGATTAGTGCTGTATCTGACAAGCATATGGCAAAAATGTCCTCCCAAAATGTAGGTGCTCTCTTCATCTCATTGATTGTTTCTTTTGCTGAGAAGAAGCTTTTTAGTTTGAATCGATTCCACTTATTGATTCTTAATTTTTATTTCTTGCACTTTCGGAGTCTTGTTAACAATGTTATTATTTATTTTATTTTACCTGGCCTAAAATAAAATAAAATATTATTTATTTTATTTTAATATTTTATTATTTATTTTATTTTAGGCCAGGGCCTAAAAATCCAATGTGATGTAGATTTGGGCCTACTTTTTCCTCCATTAGGCACAGGGTCTCTGATTTAATTCATAAATCCTTGATCCACCTGAGTTGGATTTTATGCATGAGGAGAGATAGGGGTTTAGTTTCATTTTGCTGCATATGGCTTTCCAGTTTTCCCAGCACCATTTATTGAAGAGGCTATCTTTCCTCCACTGTATATGGCACCTTTGTCTAGTATGAGATAACTGTATTTATATGGGTTTGTCTTTGTGTCTTCTATTCTGTACCATTGGTCTACATGCCTATTTTGGTGCCAATATCATGCCATTTTTATTATTATAGCTTTGTAGTATAGTTTAAGGTCTGGTATTGTGATGCCACCTGCTTCACTCTTCCTGCTAAGGATTGCTTTGGCTATTCTGGGTCTCTTATTCTTCCGAATGAATTTCATGATTGCTTTTTCCATTTCTACACTTGCAGGTTTTTTAAAAATATTTCTTCTTAAGTTTTAGGTGGACATTATATCTTTATTTTACATTTATGAGGTGCTGAGGATCGAACACAGTGCCTTGTGCATGCTAGGCGAGCACTCTATCACTGAGCCACAACCCCAGCCCCTACACTTTCAGTTTTATAGGTAATATGAGAAGAACCACCCACTCAAGTCCTACTGTATTTTATTCTTTTCTTTCCTTTTTTCCCCTCCATTCTTTGCTGCTAAAATAAAACTGACAAAGCTTCAGTCCTTTCTCTTATTTCTCTATTTAAAGATACTGATGAAAAATAGAATGGAAAAATAGAAGATATCAAGAGAGTAAATAAAGAATTTAGTTCACAAATGTAAAATCAATTTACTAAATGGATTCTTCTAAAGAAATAACATTAAACCTCAGTCATTAAGTGTGAATCATTTATCACCTACTGGTAGTTCCTATAGAGTTATCAAGATGATTAAATAAATTAATAAAATTAATAAATATACAGCTTTAAGAATACTACTTGAGGGCTGGGGCTGTAGCTCAGTGATAGAGCATTTGCCTCACACATGTAAGGCACTGATTTTAATCCTCAGCACCACATAAATAAATAAAATAAAGGTATTGTGTCCATCTACAACTAAGAATATTAACAAAAAAATAGAAGAAGAAATACTTGATGTAATCCCGGCAGCTCAGGAGACAGGCAGGAGGATTGCAAGTTCAAAGTCAGCTGCAGCAATTTAGTGAGTCCCTAAGCATTTTAGCAAGACCCTGTCTCAAAATTAAAAGAATAAAAGGGGCTGGGGATGTGGCTTAGTGGTTAAGTGCCCCTGGGTTCAAGCCCCACTACCAGAAAAGAAGAGTACTTAACATACGACAAATTCTATATAACTATGTAAAAATTAATATTAGTATCACCATTATCGCCATCATCATCTCTTATTAGTAATAGTTTCTTGACTGTTCTTTCATGTTCAAAATGTTTCATGTTCTTTTCTAAACTTAAGATTCTTTAAAGTTGATTTTCTGTATAATTTATCTTTTTCTTCCTGGCATCTAGCACAATGGCTTTTGCTCGGTAAACAGAAAGTTAACAAAAACAATACCAACTTTAATCACTGATTTGGGATATGGAAACTAATCTTAAATTGAGGGCTTCTTTTGCCATAATGTCCCAACTCAGATGAAATGTTTCTACCATGATGCCATTACTTTGCATCTCCATAGAAGTTATATTTATATTTAATTCCTAAAAATGTCAAGGCAATTTCTTGCCTAGATAGATATTGCCTAGATAGATAAATATAAAGAAAGAAGGTTATGCCTCCAAGGTGGAGAACACCTGTAATTCTAGCAATTGGTAGGTTGATCAGGAGAATCACAAGTTTCAAAGCCAATCAGGGTAATTTATGAAGACCCTGTCTCTACATAAAAATTAAAATTAAAAAAAGAGATAGGGATGTATCTCAATGGGAAAGACCTCTAAGTTCAATCCTTAGTATCACAAAAAAAATAAAGGCTTTTGTTTTATGTTACTAAAAATAAATATAATAGAAGATTACCTACAGGGAGAAAGATATGACTAAGTAAGTTCATTCTGTAACAGAATTCAAAGACATCCATTTCCTGGAGGGAATGAGGAGCAAGTGGAAAGAGTAAAACTCAAAATTATCTGAAAACCTACTATGTGCCAGATGTTCTTTGCATTTTCATATTTAATTCCCACAACCATCCAGTGAAGTAAATATTATGTTATTATTTTTACAATTAATTCAGTCAAGGAACTTGAGCCACTTTTAAAAGATCACTCATCTGGTTGCTGCAAAAAGAGAAGTCAAACTCAGTTTGCCAGATTCTAAACCTCTTCTCAATTCTGTATCCCAGGGTGGAAGAACAGTAAGAGCAGCAAATCCTTGAGAATGCTGAGAAACCTCAATATTTTCATTCTCTTGTTGCAGCCAAGAACCTAGTGGTGTGTGGTAAAGGCAACCAAGCAAAATTTTGGTTCACTTAGAACTGGCAAGGTTCTGAGGGCAATTTGAACACACAAAAGAGAAATTTGAACATGGGAAACCTAAAGGGACAGGAGTACAAAATCAGTCCCAAAATATCTGCACACTGGTTTGTCACTGGTACTCTTCCTCCACATAATATTTGCTAGAAAGAACATAGAACAGATGAGTAATGTATGAAAAGCCCTCATTTTTAGTCTTCTTTTTTTCCCAACAGTCTAGTGTTAAATTTTATTTATTTTAGCAGAGCCATCTACTGTTATTATATGTTAACTTTGATTAACATTTTTCTTTATGTCCCATTTCACCCCTACATGCAGGCTGTTTTAGGTCCTCTGGCTCTAGAAACAGCAAGGCTCTCCAATTTCAACTTGATACCGTATTCAAAGGATGTGATGACAGTAGCATTTTTAGCCATCTTGATCACGGCTCCAAATGGGGCTCTACTTATTGGCATTCTGGGGCCCAAAATACTTACACGCCATAATGATCCAGACAAAATAAAACTGCATTTGCCAAATGAAGCCCATCATTAAAAAGCTTATTTGCCATTGCCCACCTGCTTGTTTTAATGAATTATCTCACATGAAAGAAAAATATTAAAGTACAAATATATGGAGACTGTACATAGAACCCAGGATTTAGAAAATATGTGATTTCTCTACAAGAGCTTTTCTCTGATTTTTGCTTCTAAAGTAAATTTAATAAAAACAGTATTAAATGGAATGTTCTCTTAGTATTTACATATTTCAAAAACAAAGTTAATCTGTAAACACCCTAGAAGGATTGAAAGTAATCCATAAAGCTAAACTTGATGTCATAATACAAACTAAATATAAAAAATTAATGACAGAAAAAAAAACTTGGAATGTTGAATGTGGTAAAATAACCTGTTTCCCAATGGCAGAAGCAGGATTACCCATCAGTATTTCAGTTAAAAAGATGATCAGGAAAAGGAAAAAAATGACAGGAATGAAACACATTAACTTTAAGTGGGTCAACTAAATAGATTTTAAATTCTAGGTTTAGTGACTCCCTGAATAAATAAGTTGAATAAAAGAGTGAAAGTTAGTCTTTTATTCCTTCTGTTATGTCCTTAAAATGAAAATCCAGCTTAGCAATTTTTAAATGAAACACTACTGGTGTCTTTTGATTACAGAAATAATATAAATCACAAATGGAAATAAACTGTATATTTTCAATTAATATTTTTAAATCCAGGAATTAAAGACAGTCTGCAGGAAATCAAAGATTAATAGATTTCTCTCTATATGAGTTCTGGCTGATGAAATTTACTGTGCTAATATAAAACATCACAAAATAAAGTTTCAGTTGACTTCAAGATTATTTCAAAGTTTAGAGGAGTCATGGGAAAGCTTTTCAAATGGCCTTGTTGAATGATCTTTTAAAAATTGTTCAGGTTTCTTTGGCAAGGTCTCTTTTCCTTTTATACACAAGCAAGCTATTAAAATAGCACAAAATATATAATTTACAAATAAATTTGCCAAGTGAAGCCACTAAGATTTAAGGCAATCAAAACTATGTGTCATTTCACAGAGACACAGAAAGGAAAGAGCCTGAGTTTTTGTATCACCACTTGAAAAATAATATCTGCCAATCAGATATATCTGCTCTTGAACTTATTATGTGAATAAGAAATAAACTTGTATTGTATTTGAACATAGATGTATAACTATCTATTGTTTCTATTAAAATCAAGACCTTGAGTATAATACATTACCAAAACTGGCAAAAGTACAACATTCCTAGGTAACTCTGGGGAAAGAAAAAATAGCTACTGTTTTAGTAGCATTTTCTTATATACTTTTACCACAGCACAGACTCCATGCATCATTTTCAACTATTTAATTCTAATATAGTATTCCAATTTAAACTGCACAAGAATTTTGACTAAATTTTAAATCATGAGAGCATATCATTGTCACTAATAAGAAAATAAAAACATTTATCTTCACAAGATAGTATTTTGAGTCATAATTAAATTTTAAAATAGAAAGTTGATCTTATTAAAAGATATAGATACAGTAAAACATTTTTTGAATGAGAAACTATGTTTTGAATTAGGAGAAAATTTTTCATATCTAATGCTTTTATGTATAGATTTTTCTCTGTTAAATTTAATGTTTGATGTGCCCATTATACTGAAATATTCTCCTTTTAAAGGTACTGTTGCAGGTATTAGATCTTGACTTAAATTTTAAGTTTTCTATTTACAAACTTTATACAAGTTAATCATATTAATGTCATTTAAAAATTAAAACCAATTACCCACATGTACAATGTTCAAGTGTGCATAGTATTTAGACAAATAAACATAAAACTATTGTTTCTAAGTTTAAAGTGTATCTTTTTTATGCATTTTATTCACTAATAAAGGAGTTTTTAATTAAAGCAAAAATTTTTCCTCAGTTATTGTGTTATTTAAAACAGAAGTAATATTCTGAGCTATTCCACAGTAAAGAATTACAAATCAAGGGCTGGGATTGTAGCTCAGTGGTAGAGTGCTTGCCTAGCACATATGAGGCACTGGGTTTGATCTCAGCATCACATAAAAATAAAATAAAGGTATTGGGTCCATCTGCAACTAAAAAAATACTTTAAAAAAAGAATTACAAAATCAAAGAAATAGATGCTTTGCTGAAAAATTTTTTTCCCAGAGTCTATAAAGCATTAATGTGTTTTTAAATTTTATTACTTTCAGGGAATTTGTTTTTGTTTTTGTTTTAAAAGCAATAAGTAATTGTTTAAGCATCATATTTGCTAGACTTGATATTTGCTTTGAATATAAGGTTCAAAATTTCCTTTTATTTTGTAAAATTTTCCATAATACTTAATTTTTGGATGTTTAGATATTTTTCTTCAGTAAAGCACAAGCTTTTCTGATGGTTCCTGATCCATTTTAAATAGTTGGACATCAGTGGCATGGTAACCATTTTCTGGGCAGCCTTTTTAGCTTAGCTGTCTTGCAGTACAGTTATAGCTTCATCGACCTTAGCACAGAGAGACTCTGAAGACTCTAGCATATTAAAGAAGCTGTGAATTATTAATCTCTAACAACATGCTGGGAAACTTAACAGCTACAACAAGGTGCCTGGCTTGAATAAGAGGAAACAGCCATACACCCAACATTTGTGGTTTTTTGCTCTTCAAGAAAGGCAGTTGCCAACATGGAAGCAGCCAGATCCCTGACCTTGTACATGGACTGCAGACTGTTGCATGGTAATTCATGGCTGTGCATTAAGATGTTACTAAGGATTGTGAACTTCCACAGCTTATTTATACTATGGAATGATCCAAGTAGTAGTAAATGCAGCATCAGCAACTGCAAGATATGGACCCATTGTCTCTGTCAAAGATTCAGAACAAGCTGTGTTGACATGGTTTGTGGAGCCTGTGAATAAGCTGATCTCATAGAATTAACCCATATTGTCCCACCATCCCAAATATGTAACACCATTAAAAAATTATATTGAGCAATAAATATACCACATATTGTAACTTTGAAATAATTATTATTTTTAGTGTTTTATTCCTTTGAGAAAATAGGGGAATTATTAGAGCATTTAAAAATATTTTTAAATTATGAAAATGGCATAAATTTTGCTGCAAGTTACTTCTAAATGCTTGAGTGAATAAAATATTACACACATAACTGATATATAAGAAATGCATACAGAAAAGTTTTTTCTAGAATTGGATTGTCTTTTATTTTGAGGAATGCACTGTATTTCAAATCATAAATGGTGAAAAATAGCTGTCCTATAAAAAGGACACAGGAACAATGTGTATTGCATGGTAATGTTCAAAGCCTGGATATTCCATGCTGAAGAAATAATGCTTACCTGCCCTCATTCTCTGTACATGGAACTTCATCTTTGCCCCTCTCTACCCTGCCTTGAGTTCAAAGATCTTTAAAGACCATGTCAGCAAGTCTGTTTTCCCGCTGGTTTCCTATTGAACTTGCCCAGGGGAAGACAGTGACAGAAATGAGATGAGAAGTCAGGCTTATTCTCCAAGATCCTTATGTCACTGGTTACAAACTGGCTGAGGTAGAATCCCTACCCCTAGCCACCACTTCTGCTGCTTCAACACTCACTGTTTTTGCTAGGAGCTGATAATAAGATGGGTAATAACTGCCACCTTCTGTTGGTAATCCTTGGTTGTTTCACCATATCTGGTAGTTCTCATAACCCTTTCATTCTTTTGTAAATAGTTCCTTCTTTACATTCCCTTCAAATATCCTTTTTGTATGTTATTTCTCTGCTGAGGGCCTAATTAGCATTTTGCCCTTGACAAAGAGTGTCATAGTAAGCCAGATATATAAGAAAACAATGTGCCTAATGCTGTAATAAAGATAAACCAAAAGTGCAATGGATGCAGAGATGGATCTTTCTAGTTGTCTACTCAAAATCCAGTTTCCTTTTCTTCTTTGGAAGTGAGGTAGTTCTATGAATGCTCGAAGTGGTGGAGAACCCACAATTACACTGTTTTGTTTCCAACAATGGTCATGTTGGTTTCATTAAAGAGGTTCTTGGCATAAAAGTTAGCTAGTGAGATCAAAATAAACACACAGACTCAATTACCTTTTTCTATGACCAGGTCTGAGACGGCTCTCCCTCTGGCTCACACCTCGAACCACCCGGTAGGGCAGCAGGGATTACTCAGGGCTAGCAGGAGAGAGAGAGAGAGCATGCCAGGGAGTGGCCTTTTATTGGGGAACAAGAAATTCAGGGGAGAATTCCATCCAATGAAGGTTGAGGGGGGCAGCACTCCAAGGTCAGGGTCAATGATTGGCCCCAGGGTCAGTGGTCAGTCACACCCCCACACGGACAGGCTCTCGCACCAGGAGAGGGTCGGGAAAGCTCCGACACAGTTTAGCCAGAGCGTCTCACACCCAATCCGGGAGTTGCCCAATCACGTGTGAGAATGGCTCCCCACATATTCCCCCTTTTTTTCTTAAAAATGAGGCGGTGGTTCACTCTTTGGAGTTTCTGTATTCTTGTTCCGAAGACTCACCATCCTATAATTACAACACAAAAGAGAATTAACAGCAAAGAGAACAATCCAATAATGTACCAGGCCGAGTGTTTAAGAATATTTCCAGGGTTAAATCCATTTAACTCCTTTAATATTTGATTAGCCAAAGAAGAAGAATCTGAAAAATCAGCTTTATTATTTTGAATGTCTTGGATATGGTGATGAAGTTCCAGAATATCCAAGCTATTATTACTATTTTGCCAAATACCTAACAAATGGTTTTTAACCTTCTCCCAATCCCAGAGAGAAGCATTGTACTTGGCAGCTGTAACACACACATATTTATAATTTGCATGGCATTTAAGCCTTTCTTTAAATTTTAAAGCTGAAAGTTCATTACCTATGTCTATAACAGTCGCCTCTAAGGCGTTTAATTTAGTCTCAATCCTTTCATCAATATTTACTTGATTACACAGAGCCTTGGAAGTATTTTGAGCTAAATTATTAAGAAATTTTGCATGCTGAATATTTTGAGACAATGTCAGAGATGCAGAGACAGTGGAGGCAATAAAAGAGACTAGCGCCAAAACACCAACAATCATAATTCCAATAGCACGTTTGGGTCTTGCTAGCTGGGCATGAATTTGCTGCAAGACTTGTAAACCAGTATCAGCATACCATGGCTCTGAAATATTAGCAGGTAATAAAACAAAAGAGGGCTGATGAAGTATCAGCACTCCTTTCCCTCCATTATACCTAGTAATACAATTGGTTAGGTTACATTTGTTACAAGTAACAATATATCTGTCATCTATCCATTTAACTTTTACATTTCCAATAATTAAAACATAAGGAGTTTGGACACAGGCTCATAAGCCATAACAAGATCCCTCCTTACAGTTCTTGCCAACAAACTTTGGTAAAGGCTTGTTTGTAAAATGTAAGTATTCTGAGGCAGCAATTAAGCGCCGAACATCCTTTTGAATACCACCCTCACTATAAGTCAAAATATTACTAACAAATCCTGCAGGTGTCATAGCAGAATTTTTTCGTAATTGTCTTTTATCAATTTTTGGAGACCAGTCTAAAATATACCCACTATCTTTAGACACCTTGTGTTGTACAGGAAAAGTATTTACACAATCCATCCATCTAGGAAAGGTGCCAATCTCAATTGTAGAACTATTTGGACAGTGGGGTATCCATGGAGGTTTTGCAGAAATGACTGGCTTGTTATGGGAAAGTCCCATCTTAATTATTGATCTAGTATAAGGTTTTAAGTCTCCATAAATAGAATTATTTGTCAGTCTAGGTCTATCAATCACTGTCTTTTCCTCGAATGATACTTTCAGACAGCCAGCATGTTTATTGTGGGACCAACACAAAGGTAATTGGGCACTGTAGCCAGAATAATTAAATCTAGTCACATGATTGGGAGTAATATGAGTATCTGTAAATCCTCCCATCATGAATGAGTCATTACTAAATACTGGAATAGATTCTCCAGTCCACACAGCTGGGTGTACCAGGGGTGGATCTGGGAAATATGTCCAGTAAGTGTCTACTTGATCCCCCTTTACCTGACAGCCCAACAGGGCAATTACTGTTGCTACCATCATCACTGGGGTCCTGTTCTCTCCTAGGAGTCGAAGTATTCGGGAAGCCTGTGTTGTTAGTTTCTTTACATCTTCCCATGAAATCAGCTTTTCGGCTGGGTCAATCTGGTTTTTCTTCATCTTTTTCCGATATCTCTTCCTTTTGGATGGGGGCTCCTCCGGGTCAATCTTCAGTCGTTTGAATCTCGGTTCTATCTCTTCCATGTCTGATCGCGCATTCAGGAACCCAGATAGGACAAAAAGCACTTTCTGGAAAGATAAAAGCATGACCTCTGCCCCACATAAGCACTGGATCTGGGCCTTTCCATTGACCAGTCTGTAAATCTTTCCACAAAACTCTGCCTAAAGGGCCTGTTACTGAGGGAGACATTTGCCTCTCAGCAGCAGTGTGACCTTCTGCGTCACAGTTTAAAAAATTTAAAATGAACAAAGCATGATTGAGGCTATTTTGGGGAGTCATAACCCTATTCCCCCCTTTTAATTTTTGTAATTGGAGCTTAATAGATAAATGAGCTCGTTCCACAATGGCTTGACCTTGGGGGTTATAAGGAATTCCTGTTTTATGATTAATTTTAAACTCTTGGCAAAATTGTTGAAAAGAAGAGCTTACATAAGCTGGAGCATTATCTGTTTTAATCTGCATAGGGCACCCTAACACAGAAAAAGCTGTTAGGCAATGAGAAATTACATGTTGAGTATTTTCCTTAGTACGTGCTGTGGCAAAAATAAATCTTGAATAAGTGTCCACTATGACATGCACATAACATTGCTTACCAAATTGAGGAATATGAGTTACATCCATTTGCCATATTTGATTTGGTTTTAATCCACAGGGATTTACCCCTGTTGGTGGAGATGGAGTGTGAATAACACACTTAGGACATTGGCTTACAATTTGACGAGCTTGTTCTCTGGTAATATTAAATTTTTTACGTAAGCTAGAAGCATTTTAATGATGCAAGGAATGGGAAGCTAGTGCACAGTCATATGAAGACATCTGTTGACAAAAAGCTACTAATTTATCAATTTTGTCATTACCTGAAACAAAGGGTCCTGGAAGATTAGTATGAGCTTGTATGTGTCCTATGAAACATGGGTATTTCTGCATTAGCACTGCCTTCTGTAAATTATGAAATAATTCAAATAACTCTTGTGATAAAGTATACCCAATAACTGAAGTTTCAATATTTTTAGTAACTCCGGCTGCATATAAGCTGTCAGAATAAATATTAATAGGCTCATTTGAAAAGTAATTTAAGGCACAAATTAGAGCTTGAAGCTCTGCTCTTTGGGCAGAAGTATAAGAAGTTTGCATTACCTCTGTGTGAACACGACTATAAAAACCTGCTTTACCTGAGCTTGAACCATCAGTGAACTCCGATAAAGCTTCATCTATAGGATGTGCATGTACAATCTTTGGAAAAATAAGTGACGTTAATGATGCAAATTGGATAATCTTATCACGAGGGTAATGGCTATCTATCTGGCCAGGAAAATCAGCAAAAGCTATCTGCCATAAGCTAGAAGTTTGAAAAAGCCAATTAGTCTGTTGAACAGAAAATGGAATAATTATGATATCAGGCTCAGATCCAATTAATTGTAAAATCCTAGTTCTACCTTTAATCACTAACTGAGCTATAAAGTCATGGAAAGGAATTAATGTTTTTTGAGGGGAGTGGGATAAATAAATCCACTCAATAACTCCTAATCTTTTCCATATGGCTCCTGTTGGGGTATGCCCAGTTGGAAATATTAATAAATACACTATTTCTTTAGGATCAACTCTAGTAATCTGTGCATTTTTAATTGCATTTTCAACTCTTTTTAACGCTGTTCTAGCCTCTAAGGTTAGCTGACATGGAGAGGTTGGAGAAGGATTTCCTTGTAATATCTGAAATAAAGGACTTAAATCAGAAGTAGTTAGTTTTAAGGATGGCCTCAGCCAATTAATATCTCTTAAAAGCCTTGAAAATCATTAGGGGTTTGTACAGAAACTGTTTGTTCCACTCTGGTAAAATAAAGATGGCGGCCCCCATGGTTGGCGCGATGACGTCACATTGCACAACCATCACCTACTTCCTCATTCTCGGCCCCGGGGGAGGGCCGAATGGAAGTTTGTGTTCCGGCCAGGCGGAAATGATGACAAGAAGGTGGGCTCATCCGCACCATCTTGATCTGCCACGTGGGGTTGAGTCCTGCAATATCTATTATCAACAGTACATGGAGCCCTGAACTTAAAATTGCGCATGCGACATTCGCGCGCAAAATGGTTATTTCTCCCACAAACATAGCACCTCCCGCGGGGCTTTCATACTAATTCTTGCGGCCTTAGTGTTTCCTTTAGTGCCGCAGCTAGGGCTACTGTCTGCAAATGAGTAGAGTCTATCTCAGAACACAAGCGGATAAACTCAGAAACTGTCCCTTTTTTACGGTGCGGCCTAAGAACGTCTTGACAATATTTATTCGCATTTTCAAATGCCAATTTCTTAACAATAAATTCGCACACCCCCGGGTCCCCGATAGACCTGTTTGTAGTATGATACAATCAGGCTACGAAATCTGAGTACGGCTCACTCGCACCCTGCCTGATTTTGGTAAGAACTAAATTGGATTGGTCTTTAGAGACTATTTGCTTCCAGGCACATTTAGCACAATCAGTTATTTGATCATATACTACAAATTCATAATTTAACTGTCTTTCTAAATCGGCAAATTCACCCGTTCCTAAAAACATTTCTACTGGAGTCTGTAAATTTTGTCTTCTATTCTTTTCTGCCTGTTCAGTACAAAAATCAGTCCAATAAGAACGCCAGAGTAAGAAATCTCCTCCACTCAAACAAGATCTGGCTAACGAAATCCAATCACTAGGTGGGAGGGGCTGCGAGCAGATATTATCTATTAGACTCTGTACAAAAGGCGTATTCAGACCATAGGTCTCGCATGCACTTTTTAGTTCCTTAATGGTTTTAAATGGGATTACAGCATGAACTCTAACTCTCTGATCTTGCTCATTAATCTGTTCAAAAACTGGAAAAAGTTGAAAACCGCTAATATCTTCCCCGGCTTCCTGTGCTTTCTTAATACCTCGCTGGAACGGGGTAAGAAAAGTCATTGTTAATTCAGAGTACCTGTTAAATTTTGTCCTTTTAGCAGGTAATGGCCGAATTCTAATAGCCTGGGCAGGCGGTGTTAAACGCAGCCTGTTAAAATTTCTCTGTAAGTCCTGAATTTCAACGTGTGATTCTTCTCCCTCAGACTGCGACTCGTGGGTAGAATCTGCGCTGTCACCATTTTGAAATTGGGCTTCTAAGCCACATGGTGGAGAAGAACTCTGTGCCTCTCTAAGAATCTCTTCCGGATTTTCCCCGTCTATCTCTTCTGAAGGACTTTCTAGGACTGCGGAGGTTTCTTCTCTATGATCTTCTTCTCTACAATCTCCCTGTAGCCTAATCATGCAAGTTTAAGGTCACATTCCTAACTTTCAGTTTAGCCCCTAGAACCTTTGTTTTTAAACGGCTCAAGGGAAAGGAAATTAACTTAGACTCAGGCAGATTTTCCATTTGAATAGACCTAATAGCTCTCTGAATGCCTTTTAATAGATCTTCAGGGGGCCACGAACTCTGTCCCATATATTCAAAAAGACAAATTTCCAGAGCTGTCCAAGTTTTCTGAATATTTTCTATGCCTCCAGGTAATTCATTAGAAAGACAAACTTTTTGTAACTTCCTTCCTATTTTCTCCCAAGTAAGTAAATTTGGGGACTCTTTCACAAAACCAAGGGCAATATTCACCTACAATCTTTAAGAATTGTAATAACTGAGTTTTCTTTATCTGTTTTCCTTTCTGATTAATTATAGTGTCTAAAATAGTCAGATACATCTCCTTATCCGTAGAAGTTGAATTTCCCGTTTTAATTAATTTAACGTCTCTTTCCTTCAATATCTCCAGGTACTTTTGTGACCCAAAATTGTCACCAATTCCTTTGTCTTTATCTTTATAGCATGCTCCCACTCAATCTAGCTAATCTAGAATGCCCCCTTCGTGGGCGCCAAATTCCACCATGCAACCAGCGCACTGGTTTCATTAAAGAGATTTTTGGCATAAAAGTTAGCTAGTGAGATCAAAATAAACACACAGACTCAATTACCTTTTTCTATGACTAGGTCCGAGACGGCTCTCCCTCTGGCTCACACCTCGAACCACCCGGTAGGGCAGCAGGGATTACTCAGGGCTAGCAGGAGAGAGAGAGAGAGAGCACGCCAGGGAGTGGCCTTTTATTGGGGAACAAGAAATTCAGGGGAAAATTCCATCCAATGAAGGTTGAGGGGGGGGCAACACTCCAAGGTCAGGGTCAGTGATTGGCCCCAGGGTCAGTGGTCAGTCACACCCCCACACGGACAGGCTCTCGCACCAGGAGAGGGTCGGGAGAGCTCCAACACAGTTTAGCCAGAGCGCCTCACACCCAATCCGGGAGTTGCCCAATCACGTGTGAGAATGGCTCCCCACAATACGTGCTGGGGTTGTGGCTCAGTGGTAGAGCACTCCCCTAGCACGTGCAAGGCCCTGAGTTTGATCCTCAGCACCACATAAAAATCAATAAATAAAATAAAGGTATAAAGAAATTTTAAAAAAATTGAATTATAGGCTGCAGACACAGTGGGGAAAACAGACTAAACAAGTGTCCTCTCAAACAAACAACATTGATTGAAAAAACAAGCAAGATATTTGTAATTACAGATTCTATACAAATAATGAAATTCTCCTTGCAAAATGGTTAGATAATAAATGTGTTATTGTTGAAACATACTATAATACAGTGGAACCCATTTAGCAAATATTGGTGATGGAAAAAGAAATAATAGAACCAATGTGCCTCAACCAAAATAATGGGTAACTATAGCAACTCCAGTGTGGTGTGATAAGAACAATTGGTTGGTTTCTAATTATTTCACTTCTATTAGAGGTCAAAAACTGAAATGAGTCTCTATTCACTCAAATAACATGTATTGTAAATGCATGAATTCACAAATTTGTGAAAAAATATAAAAAAGATCTCATAAATGTATTGGATATTAAAAAGACATCTGCTAAACATGCTTTAAAATGATGCAATGAGAACCCATCAGGAGGAAGAAAGCATAACATTCTCTGATCTACCGCCATCAAAGATGATATTAAATTTGACATGAGAAGACTGATTATTTTCAAATTAGAAGACTGACAATGATGTCAAAACGAGACATGTTGTGGGAAATGGCATGTTGTCAAAAATGTAATGCAACCCTTCATTTGAAATGTTTTGTTTCTTTCCACTAAAAACGATTGTTTACCAGGTGATGAAAGTCACTTTTTTGTATATTATGTAATGTATGCCCAATGTCCTATTTACTGGTATAATTTTTGTTCTCACTGATAATGAAGAATATGTTAACTGCAGTTATGATTATGATTCCCAACCTATATAATGGACTTGTGTTGTTGGAATAGTAAAAGAACTGAAGACTTTTGACTTAACACATTAAATGTGGTAGTCTAGGAGTGGCTAGGAGGACTGGGCATATTTTGAAAGGGATCAGATCTGGCACCCTAAGCAGTCTAGGAAGGACTTGATTTTAGTTGTACAATTTGGCTAGCAGGATACTATGCACCCATGTATCTGCCTCAGTCCCCTCAAAACCATGAAAATCCTGATCTTTCTACTCTGTAGTTTGGTCTTTCCCAGAATGTCATGTACACAGTATTATCCAATATATAACATTTTCAGGCCAGCTTCTTTCATTTAGCAATATAATTTAAGGATTTTCCATGTCATTTCTTGGCTTAATAGTTCATGTCTCTTTAGTGCTGGATAGTATTTCATTGCCTAATATACCACGGTTTGTTTATCCTACTGATGGATATCTTGATTATTTGCAAGCTTTGGCAATTATGATTATGCTATGTTTATGCTATAAACATGAAGATTTTTGTGTGGAAATGTTTTCAGCTCTTTTGAGTAAATAGCAAGTGTGGTAACTATGTTTAGTTTTATGAGAAACTGCCAAGTTAGCCTGGCATGCTGGCACACAACTGTAATCCCAGTGGCTCAGAAGGCAGACAGGAGAATCACGAGTTCAAAGCCAGCCTTAGCAATTTACCAAGGCCCTAAGAAACTCAGTGAGACCCTGACTCTAAATAAAATACAAAAAGAGCTGGGGACGTGGCTCAGTGGTTAAGCACCCCTGAGTTTAATCCCTGGTACCAAAAAAAGAAACTGCCAAGCTATCTTCCAAAGTGGCTGTACTCTTTTGACTTCCCACCAGCAGCAAATCAGAGTTCCTAGTGCTCCACAACATTGTCAACCTTTGGGCTTTGAGTTTTGACCATACAGGATAGATATATAATGGTATCTTATTGTCATTTTAATTTGCATTTCCTCAAAATCATGAGGTAATACATCATTTCATATGCTTATTTGCCATTTGTGTATCTTCTTTGGTGAGTGCTATAGTTCAGAGATTGAGTGACCCAAATGCCTGTGTGTTAATTGCATGGTCCCAGGGTGTTGCTGTTAAAAGTTCTTAGGTCACTGAAATCATGCCTGAGAAGGTAATTATGGGAACCTAGCCCTTGCCAGAAGCTCAAAATCATGGGGACATCCTATCTGGGACTGGAACCTCCAGAACTATGAGCTACATAATACTTTTTCTTCATAAGTTAATTGCCACAGGAATTTTGTTATAGTGACACAAATTTGACTAATATAGTGAGGTATTGTTCGGATCTTTTGTTTTTTAATTAGGTTGTTCATGTTCTTATTGTTTAAGAATTCTTTATATATTTTGGATTTATCAGATATATGTTTTACAAAGATTTTCTTGCCATCTATGCCTGGTCTCTTGATAGTGTTTTTAACAAAGCAGAAGTTTTTTAATTTTAATGAAGTCCAACTTATCAAGTTTTTTCTTTCTTGGCTATGCTTTTAGTTTTGTATCTAAAAGGTCATCACCAATGTCAAGGTTACCTAGATTTTCCCTTATATTTTATGTATGAAGTTTTCTTGTTTTGCATGATCTACAGAGGTCTATGATTCATTTTGAGTTAATTTTCATAAGAGGTACAAATAAGCTCTTTGTCTAGACTCATTTATCAATACTTGAATATTTAGCTCTTCAATACTATTAATTGAAAACACTCTGCTTCCTCCACTGAATTGTCATTGCTCCCTTATCAAAAATAAATTTGATGTATTTGTGTGATTCCATTTGTGGACATCCTATTCTGTTCAATTGATCTATTTGTCTTTTATTTTTTTTAAAGCTCAAAGAACTAAAAAAGTAATTATGACAGAAATTTCAGTCTGCTCTAAAAATGCAGAAATTACAAAGGCCTTTTGACCACAGTATGATGAAAAAATAGTCATATGTAACACTGATTAAAATAATATTTGGGTCAGAGAAATTAAAACTGATTTAGATAAAAGAATGATAAGAATTCTATATTTCAAACGTAAGGATAATATCAAAGATGTGCTCACAGAAACATTAATAGTCTTAAAAAGTTTTAGTAATAAACTAAAAAGACAGAAAATACAAATTAAGTTCATAATACTACATCTCTTGATTCTGTTCCATTATATATTTGCATATTCTTTCATGAATATTACTTTCTTGATTAAGTAGCTTTTCAGTAATTCCTTTTTTAGTTAATTTTTTATTTCATTTTTAATGTATTTGTTATTCTAATTTGTTCTATATGACCGCAGAATGCATTACATTTCATATTACACATATAAAACACATCATTCATGTCTTCATACAGGTATTTAGGGTAATGATGTCTATCTCATTCCATTGTCTTTTCTACCCTCATACCCCTCCCTTCTCCTGCCACCCCTTTGCCCTATCTAGAGTTCATCTAATCCCCCCATGCTCCACCTCCCAACCCCATTATGAATCAACATCCTTATATCCAAGAAAACATTTGGCATTTGTTTTTTGGGGATTGGCTAACTTCACTTAGCATTATATTCTCCAACTGCATCCATTTACCTGCAAATGCCATGATTTTAGTCTCTTTTATTGCTGAATACTATTCCATTGTGTATATATACCACATTTTCTTTATCTGTTCATCTACTGAAGGGCATCTAGGTTGATTCCACAGTTTAGCTATTGTGAATTGTGCTGCTATAAACCTTGATGTGGCTGTGTCCCTGTAGTATGGTGTTTTTAAGTCCTTCGGATATAGACCGAGGAGTG